TACCGAGTGAAATCCAATAGTCTCCGGTGAGTCTTTCTTAAATCCTACTCTACTTTAGCTGTTTGGACTTCATACAAGTTGTGGATTTTCGACACAGTGGTGGCTCTGGAAGGCAATTCATAGTGCAGTCGTTGGATGCGACCCGAATTATATCACGCAGCCCCTCGTCCTCCACAATATTAATTGACCTGCAAGCTGTCGCCACTCGCCACCCATTTAGCGATCTTTATTGAAAGTTTGCTGCTCGTAGACGTGTCCAGGCGTCTCCTCCGCACACTTTCAAGTGTGGTCTGCTGCAAGCGGGCGGCTAGAGCGGGGCTGTTGGCATCAGCAGTGTGCTTGGATTGTATAGTTGGTATTTTAAACTCGATGTGCTCTGAAACTACGGGGCGGCCGAGGAAAAAAAATGCACATGCGTTAATCGCGTTAAAATAATTAGTGGCGTAATTTGTTTTTGCGCTAGCGCGTTATTAACGCGTTAACTTGACAGCCCTAATACTAACATATAAGGGTATACTTAGTGTGGTTACTCCATGTTTACTAGCTATAACATTAACATTACATCACTCCTTTTCACTTCTTACTCAGTCAGACAGAGTGCAGATATCACCATTAGATTCACAAACCTGAAACATCATCCATTTCTTCACTGCTGGTGATGACATTGTTGTCAGCTGCTGATACTGCTGCAGCTTGTGGCGCCTGCTTTGATGAAAATAACTTTCTAATATCCATAACTTTATAGGCTATTAGCTTAAAACTCGTCAGGCACTAGGAAGGATCACTTCTTCTTCAGGGCAGGGAAGGCTACACAGTACGCAGGCTAATGTCCCGCAGCGGCTGCCTCTCTGGTGGACTCCGGTACTGCACATTACTCCCGAGACGTTTTCAACAACAACAACAAAAAATGTTAAGTGAAACATCCGGGGCTTTTCAGAAAACATCCGGGGCTTGAGCCCAAGTAGCCATCCCCTAGCGCCGCCACTGACACCGATGCGTACAAAGTGCATACAGGACATTTAAAAAAGATCTTCATGTTCATTTTATGTTTACCCATTAGTCCTCACTAAATTATGAAAAGTCATGAAATATTAAGGATAACAGGAGGGTTAACAGCCTCACAGAGCACAGAGCAGAATGGTCACCTCTGTTTGTGTCTTGTATCTAGAAACACGTATAGTACCAGGAGTCAAATGACTTCATAGCAACACTAATTAAAATATGACAATGTTAACATAAAGACGATTGTAATAATAGCCACACAAGTTGTATCATTCAGTAGCTAATGATGTATACCAATCAATAGGTATAATTAAAGGATGAGTGTGCTATAAGACCAACAAAGTGTAAGAGCAGTGTGGATGGTAAGGAGTCAGTAAACTGCAGTGTGTGTGTCACCTAGTGCAGTGGAGTGGCTCACTTGTGTGTTTTTTAATAGTTTTTGGACTCGCGGATATCAGAGGTTTCCCCTGGGCAAAACCAACGCTTTCTCCAGAAGGCTGTGCCATTAGTGTGTGTGTGTGTGTGTGTGTGTGTGTGTGTGTGTGTGTGTGTGTGTGTGTGTGTGTGTGTGTGTGTGTGTGTGTGTGTGTGTGTGTGTGTGTGTGTGTGTGTGTGTGTGTGTGTGTGTGTGTGTGTGTGTGTGTACACCATAGACTGTATCAATAAATGAATTAACCTTTAGCTCGGATAATGAGCAGTTTGGCACCTTGTATGAAACCACCACTGACTTCGCCCCAAGCTCCAGTGAACACGCCAACCGCCAATAATGAGAGAGAATGACCACATAATAAATAAAACACACGGCCCTTACATGTGGCTCCTGCAGCGCCTAATAAATCAATTTTCCTTTCATTTAATTGGTCGAAAAACCAGTATCTACGTATCTTCCCCACCCTGAACTCGTTGACTTTTGTGTCTGAAAACAATTCATTTATAAAACAGCAAACAAAAGAGATTCTAGAGATACCGCCTGTGCTAGTTATTATAACGGTAAGCCTCCTGTCACTTACATCCGAGCATGTGTGGAATAGAGATTCATCCATTAGTACAAAGCTGCAGAGACGCGGCCTGTCCGTGCCTCGGCACCAGGGAGTGTTGGAGTCTGAAGATGATTTGGGTTTTATTATTCTCCTAATGCATCAGGAATGAGCCCTCTGAATCCCTGTTTCATAATCGCAGCCATAATCACAGCCGTGGCCCTGCACTGCCGACTGTGATGCAGACAGAGTAAGAGATACGGATGACGGGCGTTTTGGTCGACATGCTATTTGTACTCATTACACAGAGAGTGAAGCCTCCTGCTCTCCGGCTCCTGGTTAATCTGCAGCGTCTGATTAGTCAGAGCCCAGCAGGCATCTTCATTTCTGTCCCCTCAACTCTCCCTTAGCGTCTCATTTCCTTCACATCTTTTCACCAACTTACTTTCTCCTTTTTTTCTTTTGCTCCTGTCTGTCTCTCTGTATCTGTCTCTCTATCTCGAGTTTTAATAGCCTGACAAGCAGAGCACTAATCCCTTTTATTACTGTACTTGGTGCGCAGAAAGAAAGCCTGAGGGGGGGCAGACAGGGAGCCATTTATATCAAATGAATGTGATTATTCTGCTGAAGCAACCACGCTTCAGAGGCAGTGTCTCCGTGTCCAGAGCTGTGCTTATCCAATGGAGGATGACCTCTGACAAATCTCTGTCACATGAATAAAGTCTGTGCATAACATCTGAACTGTAGATTATAAAATAAGTTTAAGAGTTGAGCTGCGTTATCAGGCCAAGTTTTAAAAGTTAAAAGTTTTTTTTTTTTTTTTTTTTCCTTACCTGTAGAGAGTTTTATCGGTTTTTGTGCATGTCAATGGTCTGCAAAGGCTAAAATCCCGGTGTTTCCTCCAGCGGGATTTTCAAATCAAGTTGTATTTTGCTAGAAATTTAATTAGTTTCTACAAAAAAGTCTCCAGGTAAAAGTGTATTGCGTACAGCATTACAGGAGCTAAAGGACAGTGCGAGAAAAGGCAAAAGTTCACTTAGATATTAAAAATAAAGGCACAAAAAAGAGAAATAAGAAAACATTCATTGTAATAAAAAATGTGCTGCATTTTCAAAAAGTATACGTAAGCGTGTGAAACGTATCGAAGGAGCCAGAAACATTAACACATTGTAAATACATTCCCTGCAAGGTGACATTTAAAACAATAGCAAGTCTGGTAGAGTAGTTCTGTCTATCTAAACTGAAAGATCAACTTTATTAAATAAAAGTAAACTGAAGTGACGTGGCCAGGGAACAGAAAGTTTGGGGCTCTCTGCTTGAACTGCTTCCCCCGCGACCCGACCACAGATAAGCGAGAGAAGATGGATGGATGAAGTGTGAATTGATTTGAGGTTACTTGGCTAAAACCTGCTGTATAAGTCTATCAGTCTTTGTATGTAATATCCGAGGTTTTAGATACTAACAGTTCCTGAATGCAACACATGGACGTTTGTGTATTAATACCTCACGTCTCACAGTGATATCCTCTCTTCCTCTCCTCAGGCTCCAGGTCTTGCTTCCTGCTGTCAGAGAGTCTGAGGGCCGCTCGCTCAGCCCACAGCCATGCCTGACGTGAAGCCCCCCCCACCATGTGACTACCCCTCCTCCTCCTCCGCCTCCCCCTTCGACCTCCTCATAGACATGGAGCCCTGCATAGCCAACCTCCCCCTCTCCCCCGACCCCTTGTCCTCCTCCTTCCCCCGACACAGACCCAGCTTCCTTCACTACCCGGGCCTCCCGCCCTACCCTCTCCTGGCCCGGTGCAACAGCAGCACCCTGCTCACAAACCTGGGAATGAGGTACTGCAGACAGGGCCCCATGGGGGGGGGTGGTCCGGGTCAGGGGGGTGGTCCGGGCTCCTGTAGCTACACCGCAGGCAACAGGCCTTACAGGAGCATGGAGAACCTGAACTGGAACAATGTGGCCGATTCTGGGCTGTGTGCATTCAGTGCCGCGCCCTACAGGAGCATGGACAGTGAGTTTATTCTACGCTACACCTCCACCAGCCACTGGTATGATGGGCCCCCGGATGGTTCTGTACTGGGGGCCCCTGGGCTCGGACCAAACCAAGAGGGCCTGGCGTTTTACCCTCGACACGGGCTGCCTAGGAAGGACTTACCGCTTTTTCCTCAGCTGCTGTTTCCAGGTGGCGTCGACGAATGGGATGCGAGGAAAGGCCTGAGGGAGAAGCTCCGCCTCCAGAGTGCGAGATCATCGATGGAGCCTATGAAGCCTCTCCCGATGCGACCTCAGGAGGCTCATGTGAATTCAACGTTCTCTGGGTGCAGGCCTCCGTGCACGATGCGCATCACGAGCCCCGAGGATATCAAGCAGGAAGTCCTGAGGCGCCTACAGCTCCGCAGGCAGAACAGCAGCCCTAACCTGGCTCCCCACAGCGCCCCCTGCAGCCCAAAAGCTGTTAAGACGTCCTACACAACAGACAACATTACAGGTGGTGGATCAGACTCAGAGCGACGGAGACCTCCTGCGGGACGGCTGCACATCCCCACGTTCGAGGAGTTTAAGAGGATGAGGCAGAAAGAGACTACAGCGGGTTCTGTGGTTTCTGGATTAAAACAAGAAGCAGGAGTTTCAGAGACGAAGAGTAGTGTCTCTGAGTTGAGCTTCAGTGGAGGAAGTAGAGAGCAGGAGGTGGGGGGAGTAATGAAACCTCCCTGTAACACTGCAGCTCCCATCTCTACCTCCAGAACTTACTCTCCCATCCGCACAGGCCCGTCTCCACGCTCCCCCCTGCAGCCGCTGGCCAGCTCCACCCAGGAGAGAGGCTCCTCTGCTGGGGGAGAGGATGGGGGCGGCAGGCGGAGGAGGAGCAGTTTGGAGCCAGCCGGGTCGGTACCTTTCCCGCCCTACAGGGAACATTTTGACCGGCCCTCCAGCTGCTGCCCGGCTCTTCTGGACGGGACGGACCTGTCCAGCTACGGAGCGAAGATCTACAAGATGAAGGACGGACTGATCGGATCTGCGCTGGACCTCATCAAGAAGAGGTTAGTCTGAGAGGTTTCACTGTCAGAAGTATTCCCATTCTTTACTTTCCAAAAATACAATGATTGTGTCACCACATTTTGGGGCAGAATATTGTACTTACGGCCCGTCCACACAGCGGCGTGCGTTGAAGCTTGCCGGTGGGCGTGTCTGAAACTCGACCAACAACCAATCACATGAATCTCCCGCCCCTGACACACGAGCAGCAGTTTGATTGGCTAGAGCTTGTACTGGCATATGATTCGATTGGCTGACGCTTCTGCAGAGGCTTCAAAAGTTGAACATTGCTCAACTTTTGCAGCGAGCCACGCCAGCAAAGCTCCGCGTCGCTTCCCACAATGCAGTTCGGCGAAAAGTGACGTCACCCCATTCAAAGTGAATGGTGAAGCTTTCAACGCACGCCGCTGTGTGGACGGGCCGTTATAGTTAGGTAGGATTTTATTTGTTGTACTTTTATACCACACTCAGGTTATGACGAATATATAAAATACTATGCATTTTATAAGCTAAACCTTCCAACCTACAAATTAATAGGATGTTGTATTTTCTTTACCTAAAAAGAAAGATAGTTTCCTTGATTGATCAAATAATCTTTCGGTCTAGTCCAAGGTGATCTTGTTAGATGTCTGTTTTTAAAACCAAACCGAAAAACAGATTCAAACAAAGCAAATCTCCCTATTCGTTGATAACAGAACATTTACCAATATGCATTAGAGCTGCAAAGATTGAATATTTTATGATTTGTTCACTACATTCAATATCTTTAAGTTGTGGACAAAACAAGTCATTTGAGGACCTTATCTTGGGCTTTGACAAACAACTTTTCACAATATTCTGACACTTTATAGACCAATCTACTACTAGGTAAATCGAGAAAAATAATCAACAGATTAATAGAAACAATATTGACATGAAAAACTGTATATGAAATATCTATCACTCTCCAACTGCTTATTGGGTCGCTGAGGAAGCCGTTTCAGCAAATATGTTTTGCTCTTGAATCCACTTTGATGGTGACATTATATCTTAACAACATCCACATGTGTGCTTAGCCTTGCCAGACAGTTGCTCCGGTGTGTGCGAGTCCATCTGTCGGATGTGTTGTTGTGTTATCGATTTATCTCAGTTATTGTGCTAACAGCTGTCCGAGCTAACAGGGAGACAGGACAGTGGGCGGGAGGCCGGCATGAATCATGACAGACTGGAGGACTGGCACCGTCCCTACAGACTCCATGTTTTCCTCTCTCTCACACACACACACACACACACACACACACACACACACACACACACACACACACACACACACACACACACGCACAGGTTCTTGGCATGTA